TTGGAAAGCCTTGCATTCCAGCTTCATAGTTTTACTATGAAGTCTGAGAGAATAAATGTTAGCCCTAACTGGAGCCACTTTAGGTCCAACTTCGCTAGAACCGGGAGTGTTCCGACTCTCAACAACACAGGAGCCCCTTTGTCTCTTGATGGCGTCTACCTTTGTAATTACCCGACCGAGACATTTGATCTTGATGGTTTTACACCTAGCCCAGGAACCTCGGAACACGCTGCTCCATTCTCGTATTCACAGGCTGATCGTGGCCATCTTGGGCAACCGATGGCGATCAGTGGCCACTTCCCCAGTAAAAAGAAGACACGCACCGAGTCATTGGAGATCGCATCGCTATCGATGCTTGCCGGGAGTGGAATGGTGATGTAATCGGATCGACTCGGCCGGCCTCTCCGATGTCCCTTTGCCGTCGACTATTAAACTTTTCTAGTTTTCCAACTATTGTTTCAATTACGACGTCCATGTGGACTGTACCCCTTTGAAACAACGCGCGGCAGGGCTTTCTAGTTTTTTAAGCCTCTTTGAGATTTCCACAACTGTTAAAACGCCTTTGTTAGTCCTTGAGATTTCAGATATATATCCAAAATCCCGTACATTGAACCTGCCTGTCAACCATCTGACCCCAACGAAAAAAAGCAGAAGAAAACATCCTCACCGTTCAGACTATACAATGCATTTCTCGGCATCTTGCTCTGCCATTGTGGCTCTTGTCCTGCCACTCATCTCCCAGGTTTCCGCTGCTGGACAGTTGGGATTCGCCCTCGGCGTCAAACATGCCGACGGAAGCTGCAAGTACCAGGCAGACTATGAAGCGGACTTTGACGCAATAGGCACTGCCGGTAGTTCAATCGTAAGAATCTACTCGGCTGCCGATTGTGATGTGACGCGGCAGATCCTGCCAGCAGCCAAGAACAAAGGTTTCAAAGTCGTACTTGGAATTTGGTGCGTCCCCATCCTCAATCCTCCCAATCCGGCCTTGCTTCCGAACGAGAACTGACAAGACATCCACGTAGGCCTGATACAGACGATTCGTACAATGCTGGGAAGGCAGCGATTCTGGAGTCGGCTGTCGGCTACCCAGACCAGGTTTATGCCATCACCGTTGGCTCGGAAGCCCTGTACCGTGGAACCTTCACTGCGGACCAACTCATTAGCAAGATTGCCGATATGAGACAGGCTGCTCCGCAGTTCCGTTACGGAACCGCCGATTCCTGGAACATGTTTATCCAGGACAATGGGTTGAGTCTAGTCCCGGTCGCTGACATTCTCCTTGTCAACGCATTCGCCTATTGGCAGGGTGCTGCCATTTCCAATGCCGTCAATGTTTTCAATGACGACATCAACCAGGCGTTTGACCGCATCAAGTCTGTGGCTGGCGACAAGCAAATCGAACTCTGGGTCGGAGAGACTGGTTGGCCGACGGAGGGAACTACCTACCAGGCTGCGGTGCCTTCGTTGGAAAGCGCTGAATTCTTCTACCACAACGGTGTTTGCAGCAGGCTGAGCGACGGAACAAACGTGTTCTATTTCGAGGCATTCGATGAGCCCTGGAAGCCCGATTCCATTGGTGATGACGGCAGTGCAGCGGATGAGAAGCACTGGGGAGCAATGACTTCAGACCGCGTTGCTAAGTTCTCCCTGCAATGTTAAATTCGGTAGAGGTGGGCTTTTTCCTTCTTGAATAGATAGCAATGAAGATTTTTAGCCCCAGTATATATGAGGAAACATGAGCATCGCAATGAGTGTGAGTCCCTCCGATTTGTTGTCAACGCCGAATCGTATTAAATTCTTTAATAAGCTCTCGATGAGAGGAGCCCGGTAATTAATGTACATATTATCCAATCCAACGTTTGTATTTGAACCTGGGGTCGTTCGTGGTATTTGACTTCGATCAGGTTGTTCGACTGTTAATGGGTATTTGTGAGAGACTTCGACGGGTGGCTTAAGCAGCAGCAGGCTTGGCGCCGACGCCGCCAGCGCCGGGAGGAAGGAACAGCGGCATATAGCATGTGCCGAGGGCCAGAACTGATAGCGAGTATGTTAGCTAATGCGAAGTCTGTGGGCGCTTGCTGGAAGGTGCGACGTACGAGACATGCCAACGGAGAGATAACCGGGCATGGGGGAGTTCTGCTTCTGCGCCTCGCTCTCACCGAGCCAGTTCTGGATGGAGACAACTAGCGAGGCCCTAAACTGAGTGTTAGAAAATTTAATTCTCCTTGATTCTTGTTTTCGTTTTCGTGGGGGTCTGCGGCCCTCATTCTCCGCTTGATGTTGACAAGGAGGGCACGTGGACAGGAGGAGGGCATTAGAGGTTGGGAGAGGTTGGGAAAGCAGGCGTAAGGGTGTGAGTTTCGTACCATCCGATGATCTTGTGGCGCATAAACATAGCGGCCATGGGAAGCGTCGAAGAGAGAGAAGAGGAGACATCGGCTTGATCAGCTGAATTCTTAGGTGCCTGGTACGGAATGACTGTTGTGGCGAGGAAGGGTTAGTTTGATGCCTGCTCATTGGGGCCTCGTCAAAGTGCTACAATGGTCTGGAGTTGCACGTACTCAGGTCCGGGCGGCGCATGTCCTTGTTGGAAACCATGTTGGCTGTGGGTGATGAGCGGAGTGTCTTGGCTGGGGGTTGATGGCGAGTCGTGGTGGAAGATGAAGCTGTCCCCAATTGCGCGCCGGTCTTTGGACAGGGAAGGAAGTTGGCTGTCGCAATTGTGGGGCTCAGGCAAGACAGTGCCGCTAGACCTCATACGGCATTTCTCCAGAACCCCCGCATGAAGCTCCATGTAAGTCATCGAAAAGGGTGCAAACCGATCGTCAGCTATTGATCTAACAACTTCTATCTGCAGCTATCTCGCTTTATTCGACTCTGTGTAATTGGAAAGGGAAGGCTATTTTCCCGGTGACTACACCCATGCTATTTTGCAGCTTTTTATGATGGAATTCATCGAGCTGCTTTATCATCTCGGGCGTTCCGATTTGTAGTCGTTCGAGAATCTCAGCCACAACCGCATAGAGTATGTCAAGGTTGCCGTCTCCTATCTTTACCGCGATTCCCACAGTTCCCTTTGCTCCCAGGCGTGTTGTACTTGCGGATGACCGGATACCGACTCCGTAGCACCCATCCGCACCGACCTTGCCAAAGACCTGGCCCCCAAATAGCTTCATGAGCGAGGTGCAAAACCGACCCTCTCCTGCCACGTGATCCGCATGCTTTGCCATAGCATTGAATATTCGTGCACACAATTCGATTCTAGTTGATTCCGGGCTTCCTGCAGCATCCTCGTCGGCAGCAGTTGCGAAGCACGCATAGATTGAGGCAAGATCTTTGAGCGGCAATGCGGGAGCAGGCATATTGCAGCCATCGATTCCCCACTGGATGCTTTCGCTGTCCAGGCCGGAAAGCTCCTCTACAACTGTCTTCACTCGTTGCTGGATGGGGTGGCTCATCTCGTGGTAGTCAACCACCGAGGCGCCGATTGCTTTGGCACCTGCGATCATCCCGATGTGCTTGCCGGAGCAGTTGTTGCAAATGCGTGTGGGACTGAAGCCGGCTCTGATCCAATCCTGATTGACCGAAGGAGAAATAGAAGGGTGCCCCCCGCACCGTAGGTCTGTTTCTTCTGCAGGAATTTTGGCAAGCATGGCGAGGGCTCGTTCAAGATGCTTTGGTTCGCTGTTATGCGAAGCGCACATCAGAGCCAAATCTGCTGCCTCGAAACCATATTTTTCAAGAGCGCCAGTCTCAGCAATGGCCAGAGCTTGGGCTGGTTTGGCAGCTGATCGGATGAGAGTCACCCGTGAGGGATTGCCGACGTAAAATAAGAGTTTGCCGGTCTCATCAACTACTGCGGCATGGACGAGGTGGGAGTTCTCAAGAACACCACCCCGGTCAGTGATGACACAGTCCTCATATGATTTGACCATTGTTATTTTAGATGCAACGAATTCAGATATGTTCGAAAGCAATTAAGTCAAGATTATATATATGGTGATGAGAGAGCGAACCATACGTGGTTATGCGCCCTTGCTGAGCGGCTGCTGCGCTTGCGCCCTTATTTGACCATGATTTGAAGGAGCTCGGCTTCAACCCATTTTAGTCAATTGAATACACCTGCCTCTAATGAAAAAGAAACCTTGATTGATACGGAACTTTCGAACTGGGACCTATTTACAACAGCCGATCATTTTGTCATATCCTACATGAATCACTATGAGTCAGACCGTGGGATGATCCGTGGACGTCGAGGAACATGGGAAAAGACTGGGCTTTTCCTCGAAATTGTTTTGCAACATGGTTCTTGCTTTAGGCATTAGAGTTTCCTAGTACTAGGGAATGTGACTCAGATTGAGAGCATTTTGTCCATAGTTTAGAAGCGTTCTTACGGGAAAAACAAGGCATATTTATAGTCGTGTTGCAACACGTGAAACAGGCAACATTACAGACTTCTAAGCCAGTGCAGGGTTGAACTCAATACAAGGGTGCTCCCCTCAGTAGACGCAGAGCGCGAAGAGGGGCAGAATTAGTGCCTCCAAGCTAAGTTCAGGTAGCGTGGTGGCCTGCCTTGAGCATCAGAATGGTGGGGCACGACCATCATGAGTCTTACCCGCTCAACCTCTTTTTTTTTCTTCCTTCCCAAAATCCGACAGAGTTGCGCCCAGAAGCAGCGCAGTCCTGCAAATCAATTCTTTTCGCTTCGACCCATCCGATACGAGATACATGATACCCAACGCACTGCAGATGCACCACTCGCAGTAATTGTTCATATCCTTCGACTACCTAGCCACGGTTCAAATACCACCAACCACTGCCCTCGCCTCGCTTGTCATATCGCGACAAATCGAACTTGGACCATAGGACGCTTCCGTAGCTGACCATATATCGGTATGAACGACTTCAGCTAGCACGAACGAGCATTTCCCGTGGTTCCGCTTTGAAGAATCAGCTCGACTGTCCCTCTACACCTATAGCTACGATTAGCCATCAACATGGTTAAGGCTCAGGTTGTTGACAAGCCGCCGAAGCGGTTTCGGGGCATCAAATTCGGCATACAGTAAGCCTTTCGCTTCTGGCGTGTGAGAACACCATGGGCCACATAGTCTAACTGAAACCAGGTCGAATCAAGATATTGCCAATCAGGCTGTGTTGGAGGTTTCCGATCGCTTACTCTATGACATTGAGAATAACCGCTCTGCGTATCGGCATGGTCCTTTAGACTCACGACTTGTGAGACTCACCATCTTCTTGCATGTTTGACCGAGAAGCTTATAGAATTTACAGGGTACCTCGAGCAAAACGGGAAAATGCGCAACCTGCCTAGAGTCGCTCAAAAACTGTACCGGCCACTTCGGCCATGTACGCCTTCCCCTTCCGGCGTTCCATGTCGGCTACCTCCGATTCATCATGTCTATTCTCCAGGAGATCTGCAAGGTAGGAAAGTCATGGATGTGGAAATCATGATCAGTCCGCTGATAGAGCAATTAGGATTGCGGACGAGTCCTCCTCGAAGAACCCGATCGTCGCTCATATCTCAAAGAATTGAGGCGCCCCTTTCTCGATAACCTTCGACGAACACAGATATGCAAGAGGATCAATGAGCAATGCCGCAAAGTTAGGACCTGCCCGTACTGCGGCTGCCTCAATGGCCAGATCCGTAAACTCGGTGTTCTAAAACTTGTCCATGACAAGTTTGTCTTCTTCAACAAATCTACATCGGCCAAGAAGGTTGCCCCCGCGAGCAAAGTCAAGTTCGATAACTCTTTCAATTCCGCCAAAGCCGACAATCCAGAAATCGGACGGTACCTTCCAAAGGCGATGGAGGATCTGAACCCACTGAGGGTTCTCAATCTCTTCAAGATGATTAGTCCTACTGACTGCGAACTTCTTGGGATCAACCCCGCCGAAGGTCGTCCTGAAATGTTCATCTGGCAATTCTTGCCCGCCCCTCCTGTGTGTATCCGACCCTCAGTGGTTCAGGACAATGCGAGTAACGAGGATGATATCACCACTAAGCTGGCCGATATTGTTTGGGTCAGCGGCATGATTCGTTCTGCACTGCAGAAGGGCTCTCCTATTCAAACGATCATGGAGCAATGGGAGTATCTGCAGACCCAAATCGCTTTGTACGTGAACAGCGATGTCCCAGGTCTCCAGCAACCTGGTTTTGGAAAAACGACACGAGGTTTCTGTCAGCGACTGAAGGGAAAGCAAGGACGCTTTCGTGGTAATCTGTCAGGAAAACGTGTGGACTTTTCTGGGCGAACTGTCATTTCTCCCGACCCCAACCTTAGCATTGATCAAGTGGCCGTTCCCATTCTCGTGGCAAAGAACTTAACATATCCCGAAAAGGTCCAACGACACAATATTGAGAAGCTTCGCCAGTGTGTCAGGAATGGCCCTTCCGTGTGGCCAGGTGCCTCTAGCATCATCCGTGGAGAGGGTGGGTTCAAAGAAAATCTAAAGTTTGGTGATCGGGAAGAACACGCTCAGAATCTGCGCTACGGTGACACCGTCAATCGGCATCTTGAAGACAACGATGTCGTTCTTTTCAACCGTCAGCCATCATTGCACAAGCTCAGTATCATGGCGCATTTGGTCAAGGTTCGGCCTTGGAGAACGTTCCGTCTCAATGAGTGTGTGTGTGGTCCCTATAATGCAGATTTTGATGGAGATGAAATGAATCTTCACGTTCCTCAGACAGAAGAAGCTCGTGCCGAAGCTTTGAGCTTGATGGGCATCAAGTACAACCTCGCGACACCCAAAAACGGAGAACCGGTGATTGCGGCAACTCAGGATTTCATCACCGCGGCGTTCCTGCTTAGCCAAAAGGATCGCTTTTTCAACCGAAAGGTTTTCACCTACCTGTGTATGCACATGGTAGATGGCGATACCCACATCGACCTGCCTCCACCAGCAATCATTGCACCTGAGGCTCTTTGGACAGGAAAGCAGTTGTTCAGTGTACTGATTCGTCCCAACAAGAAGTCCCCCGTTCTTGTCAATCTTGAGGCGGGTTGCAAGAATTTCAAGCCCAAGGCCGGGGAGACTTCTGATATGAACCCTGAAGACAGATACCTTGTTATCCGCAATTCTGAAGTCCTGTGCGGCCGAATGGATAAGAATACAGTCGGCTCGGGAAAGAAGGATTCCATTTTCTACGTGATTTTGCGTGACTTTGGCCCCGACTACGCGATTGCTGCTATGACACGTTTAGCTAAGCTCTCAGCTCGTGCGCTCACGAACTGTGGCTTTTCTATCGGTGTCGGTGATGTGTTCCCGACAGAGAGCCTCACCCTGGAGAAGGAAAAGATGGTCTCCACTGCTTATAGTATTTGCGATGACCTGATCGAAAAATTCAAGGCCGGAAAACTTGAAAAGGCACCTGGATGTAATATTGAGCAGACTTTGGAAAACTCCATCTCAGGTGCTCTGAACAAGGTTCGACAGCAAGCCGGTTCTTACTGTGTGCAGAATCTCAGCCGAAACAACGCACCCTTGATCATGGCGAACTGTGGCTCCAAGGGTTCTGAAATCAACGTTGCCCAAATGATTGCACTCGTCGGGCAGCAAATTATTGGTGGGCAGCGTGTGCCGGAAGGTTTCCAAGACCGCAGTCTTCCTCATTTCCACAAGAACGCCCGTCAGCCTCAGTCAAAGGGTTTCGTGAAGAACAGTTTCTACACTGGCCTTCATCCAACCGAGTTTATTTTCCACGCCATGTCTGGCCGTGAAGGTCTTGTTGATACTGCTGTCAAAACTGCCGAGACAGGTTACATGTCGCGAAGATTGATGAAGTCTTTAGAAGATCTCTCTACTCGATACGATGACACTGTTCGAACATCTGGTGGTGGTATCGTCCAATTCCAATTCGGCGCAGACAAGCTTGATCCTGTGGACATGGAGCGTTCCGCTGACCCCGTGCACTTCCAGCGTACATGGTCTCACGCCGAAGCTCTCACGTGGGATAACAGCGAGCCCTCGATGACTCCAGACGAAATCAGAGCGTTCCGTGACTCTATGCTGGCCAACGAGCGAAAGCGACTGGTCAGACGTGGCTTGCTCCATAACGAAATCTTGGATTATGATGATGTCAGTGACTACGGTATCGACGAGCACGAAGGTGCCAGGAAGTTCCTCAAGACGATCCATGCCGAGATCGAAGGAATGGCGAGCAAGCTGGAACGCGTGCGAAAATTGGCTGGTTTCGAGGGTGATGTTATGGTGAAGCCTACTGCGGCAGACCACGCAGATCGCACAGCTAAAGTATCAGCCTCTGCTCTGCGAATGTTCATCAAGCTTTGCCTGGAAAAGTACAAGAAGGCTCATGTCGAGCCAGGTCATGCAGTTGGAGCCGTTGGAGCCCACTCCATTGGTGAGCCCGGTACCCAGATGACCTTGAAAACTTTCCATTTTGCTGGTGTTGCTGGTATGAGTATCACGGCCGGTGTGCCCCGTATCAAGGAAATCATCAACGCTTCGAAGCTCATCAGCACCCCCATTATCTCATGCCCCTTGTTGAATAACAAGCAGATCGAGGCGGCACGAGTGGTGAAGGGAAGGATTGAAAAGACGTACATATCCGATGTATTGCAGTTTGTGGAGGATGAGTGGCGCATCGACGAGAGTAACATTATCCTCCAAATCGATGCGCAGGCTCTGTCGGAGATGCACCTAGGCATTACTGTTAACGACATCGCCGAGGCCATCTGCAAACAGCGAAAACTCAAAGTCGAACGCGACGACTTGTCAATCGACGGCTACCGAGTTATCGTGAGGGTCAGACTCTCCGATAACAAGAAGACGACCAGAGTCAAACCTGATGGTCTGGATGGTAGCGATATCCTCTTGCGGGCCAACCTCCTCCGTCGCGCTTTGCCAACTGTACCCATCTCCGGATACGCCGAGGCAACCCGTGCCATTATTGAAACATCCGAAGAAGGTACGCACAAGGTCCTGGTTGAAGGATACGGACTCAAGGCCTGCATGGCCACAGAGGGTGTCGTCGGGTCCCAGACCCGAAGCAACAGCGTGTTGGAATGCCGTGACGTGTTGGGCATCGAAGCCGCACGATCGTCCATCGCCCACGAAATCAACGTGGTCATGGGTGACATGGACATCGACCCCCGTCACATGCAGCTCCTGGCCGATGTCATGACCTACAAGGGCGAAGTCCTCGGCATCACCCGTTTCGGTCTCTCCAAGATGCGAGACAGCGTCCTGCAGCTCGCGTCCTTCGAGAAGACGCCCGACCATCTCTTCGAGGCGGCTGCCGGCATGAAGACTGACAACATCGAGGGTGTGAGTGAGTGTATCATCATGGGCCAGAGCATGACCATTGGTACCGGGGCTTTCCAGGTCGTCAGGCGGCTCGGCATCCAGCCCACTGATTTGGTGAAGAAGCCTACTACATTTGAGGATGCTTGGTCGTCAGAGGTGTCCTTGAAGCGCAAGGCAAGGAGGAGGGCTTAGGAACCTGATCGTCAGGGGATAGTTTGTCTTACCAATTGGACCTGGATCCTTTTTTGAAAGACTGGCCAGGTATCCAGAATAATGGACGATGGTGGATTGATACGCTACGGGATTTCGTGTATTTAATTAAGCGTGGGAGTTCTAAGTATCGGGCTATTATTACATGGCTGTCTCAGTTCGGAACCGCAGCAGCGATAGTAGAAAGTCTGCCTTTTTAAAAGTCGATGACCCTAGCAAATTCTACCAATTAAGAAGCTGTTCTTTGATTTGCAGGAAGGTGGCTTATTGTGATTGTAAATGTCCATCTTTAGAATCATGACCCCTTCGCACGGTGTTGAGCGGAATCTGTATTTTCTTTCGAATATGTATATGTGTGCTGATTGTGTGTGTAGTGTATAATACATAGGTAGTTCCAATGCTATCTCGTCATAATCGTTGAGAAGATGCCATTATCTTCAAACCTCTTGGACCGATGCATACTTTTTCCAAACCTGCTCAACGCCAACCTCAAATGCTATGTAGCTCATTAAATTCATCGCATTTTCATCATCACTAAACCCTGATGATGACTCTCCATCCTAAAGCTCCGGCCTCTCGAATAGCACATGCTAGGCATCCCCTCTTCTTTCTACTTATGAGGGCATTCCATCCTTTTTGAGCACATAAGGCTCTGACTAGGATTTCCATATCTGATCCGTATTGGCTTTTTCGATATTCGAGATGCATCCTGCCAGGTAGATTACCCCAACTCTCAACCAGGGCAAGAGAAGATGTCGAGCCACCGGAGTTCATCCGTTCGAGCACTGGGGACATTGGAGACTCGGGTTGGTCCGCGTAATTTGTGATGCAGTCGATTACCAGGACCCGCTTATCACCAGAGCGAGATACGGCTTTCTTTGTTGGATCTGGATTTATTAGATCTGCAAGCGATTGCTGACGTCTTCGAATGAGTTCCGATAAGTGTACAACAGTATAATCATAATACTTGTGTAGTGGGTGACCTAGTCTCTGTGAGTGATTAAGTGGTTTTTCGAGGTAGGGAAAACCTTACCAGCTCTATGTGCTGAACGTGATGCCCTTCCAAACTCCTTCGCACCTGAAACATCTATTTGCTGGATTGTAGGGCTCTCGGGTGATTTCATGATTCTCACGCGCCTCGAAGGCGCACATGGGTGTGCTGTGACAAAGCTGACATCGTACGCCAGAGTGAAAGCTATTTCCTCCGGGCTTTGGCCATCAAGGGAGACCCGAAAAATGAACTTGGCTGGGTGGGTGGGAAGATCCGGGGCTCTAGGTGACTCCGTCATGGGCGTCCCAGTCAACTCGCTCAGTGGCGAAGGATGCACATTCTCCACGGACCGAAGGAGTTTGAAGGTTTGAAGGGCGATCGTAATGCTAGGGGGTGGGGTTGAGTATGAATTCTCACGGGGAACAACGAAATCAGCAGGAAGGACCGTGTTTTCATTTCCATCACCCAAGATGGACGATTCCTTTTCCACACGCTTCTTCCCCCATATTCGGGCCTTTCTACCAAGCCGAGTGAGATCCTCTATGATGGATGGATTAGTCGTGGCTCGAGGAGTGTTTTTCACTCTTAGGTAACTCACCAGGGACATCTTCAGACTCGATATTTAACCAGCCATCCTTTGTATCTTCCGGCACTACGTCCGTCGAAATCCAGCCCATGCATTCTGTAGCACCTTGTCCGGCAGCCAAAACACGCCCGACAATGCAGAGAGTGCTCCAAAAACTTTTGCCGCGGTAGACAAATCCTCCACAAAGGTTTGCGAATGAGCCCAGAGTTTCCAGCGCCTCGCTGTCGTTTTCTAACAGTGTTGCCATCAAGAAATGAGACAGCGCCTCTCCCGGAAGAAGAAGGGCGAAAACGTAAGATTTTGACAGCCATCCTGATGCATGGAGAGCAGCAGCCATCTTGCGTCTCTGTGCCTGGACCCGGTGACCTTGGCCATGGTGATGATGACTAGTTACGTCCCATGCGCCAAAGTAAGAAGAGCGAGATGAAGATTTTGTGCCAGTGGTGTTGGGGGTCGCCAGTGTTGATGAGCTACTTCTGACAGAATCCTGTGCGTTCTCCGAGATGCGAGACTCGTAAGAGTAGATTCCAGGCCATTGTATTTTGCGCGCGAAGTGCGTCAGGCCGTCAACTTGCCGTACGCCATGGCGTCCTTGAATCGTATAATGGTGTGTCGACTTCTGGGTCTCTTGATCATGGCTATGTTTGAGCACCATTTTGCTTACCAAAGAAGCCAGCCACCCGCTCCCAGGTCGTAGATTCTTTCCTATTCCCTTCTGTACTACCTCTTCTTTAACAACCTCGATATTCTCCAGCCAGCTTCGAGCCAGGAGAATAGACCATTTCACTGAGGTGTTTGCTTGTCTTTCAAAATAAGCACCGTCAGCCGGTCGGAAAGCGTTGTAAGAATTTTCGTCTGCGGTAATAGCATCGAGTCGGATCAGCAATTCTGTAGACAGTAGGACCTGTACCAGTAGCCAGTATCGCTCCTCCGCCCTCTCCGCGGCGTTGGTAGCATCGTGAATTTCTGTATCATCATCTAACTCATCACCATCCGTTTGACCCCATAAGATTTGGCCCAGCCGAATGCGCCATTCAACCCTCGATAAATCAATCCACACATTCGAAGTCGCAAGGCACTTCACCAAGGAATTGATCTGATTAATAAGACTGTAGTGATCGTTTTTGTCAATGACAGGATCGCGCGGTCGCATAAGTGAGTGGAAGAGCTCCGTGTAGGTTTCTATGGTTGGCCTTTTTCGCATATCATTCTTCCGATACACGTCACCGTTGCGCCTTAACCTATCCATGACTTCAACCTCGGGCAGACGATGCAAGTGGCCTTCTGCGGACATCATGCGCTTGCGTGCATCAACAACGGCCCTGGCCTTGGTACCGACGCTCTCAAACCCGAACTGCTCCTCCTCGAGCGAGTCGCCGACCGGAAGTTCTAGGGCAGCCTGATAGCCCATGGTTCCCTTCTCAAGACCTTGCATGCTAAGCATGTTTGGTCTCTCACGTGTGCGGACATGGAAATGTGCTTTAGCGTGTCTCTCGAAACTCTTGCGGGCAGCAGGATCAAGATTCAGATCGCGGGTTAGATGAGGCCATGCAGTCACGCCGCTCCAGGCCATGTCCTCGATCTGGACATGGTCTGTGAGGTCACGGATTTCCAACTCTTCATTGAAAGGAAAGGCCACGCTCGGATGGGGGGCGCCCGGGAAGTGGGCCTCGCTCCGAGCAAAGTACTGAGGCGCCCCTGAGAAGAGTTTCTCGATATCATCTTCAGACAGTGTTGACGACATGGCAAATCTGTTCTTCCGCCCACCAGGCCAGCTGATGGTACATGTAAGCTCCCTGACAGGTACTTTGGGTGGTTCCCTCGGTCCGCAAGTCGCAGCTGGAGTCGGCAGCTGGGCGGAGTTCGGCCTAGACGCGGGGTTGGCACTGGGACAGTCTTGAAGTCTCAGACAAGTTACTTCCAGCGATTGAAAGAGTGGGAGAGGAAGCAGTGAGCACAGAAAGACTGTCGCGAGGCTTGAGACAGACGAGAGAAGCTAGGGAAGGTGGTCCCACGCGGATCTGACGGATCGTGCCTGGTTTTGCAACTCCGGTGATCCTTGTCCCTGGGTATTGTAATAATAAATTGACTTGGTCCGCGTGACCCGCCACTAGCAATGTGTAATGTACCTACTTGCACAGACACACGTTGTCTGACGCATCCCGAGCAAGGTGGCCCAGACCGTGAGTGAGTGAAGGCTGCGCTAGCCTGGAACTGGGGGCAAAGATTACAGACACACGCACAATGCAATGCAGTCTCACGGCTGTGCGGGGAGCAGAGGGAGACGGAGGAGGAGGAGGAGAAGCGAGCGGCCACAAAGGAGGGGGAGGGAAGACCAAAAAGATGCAGCTCGATGAGATCAGATGAGATGGATGGATGGTGTCTTACAATTGCAAGAGGAGATGGGCTTGCCGCCACTACCTGCCTTCCGAGGTTCCAGGTCCTTCAATTGCAGGTCCAGTTGCAACGGCGGCGCCGCGGTGCCTGCCGTTGACGACTGGAGGCCAATTCCAAGGGCTGCCACAGCGCGGGGACACCTGCCGGCCAGCGCCTGTCTACACCCTAGATCACCTCAGAGTCATGGCGGAAATAGCGTAAAGGGTCCCCTGTGGACCGCGCTTGCCCCCACCTTCCTCGCCGCCTCCGTCCAGCTGATGGCTGCCTCCTGCCTGGACGCACGTCCTTCCTTGCCTCCCCCGTCAATGCTACTGCAGCTGTCGAAAAGTGTCCGAGGCTTGGTTTGCTCTCATCTTGACTCTCCTGGGCCGCCTCCCCTTTTATCTGGGAGATCTCGTCCAGGGTCTCCAGCTCATGGTTGGCCTTCGCATCAGCCTACCCTTGGTAGTGAGGTCATGCCGTCCTTCAGTCCGAGACTGGTGGTCCATGACTAGCACGACGGTCCCCGCCTTCGGGTACAGCCAGTCAGCCAGCCATTGACTGCCGATCAGTAGCGTGAGCTGGTGTGGGGTAATGAACTGACCACGGAAGGATAAGGCGATTCTTTTACGCCCCTATGCGCTTATGTGGAGGGTTTGAGGTTCCAGGCGCAGATAACAAAGAACGGTGTGAGGGCGAGAGAGAGTCAATTTCGAATACGCCCCATAATCACCCTGTAATTGATAGATCCTAGTGCTAATAATTGGTAATTGCAATTCCTTCAGCATTCTTTAACCACGTGCCTGCAAGTGAGAGCAATCGCTTTACGAGCTGCAAGGGCAAGCCATTCGCACGTGTAGCAAAGTCAACGCACTCCTCGTCTTTCAACAAGCGGACCAACCGTTGGCTCAATGGCGAGCTAAATTGGATGGGTTTCGCTTGAGTCTTGGAAGTTTTGGCACAGGAGATCTCAGATCCTACGTCATTTGCATCATCCGATTCGCACAAAGCCTAGGCAAAAGCCTCCTGAGTCTTAGCTTGGTTGCAGTATAAGGTAGGGCCATGGCATAGTTTGACCTAAGGCAGTAATAATCGGGTCGATTGCATCTCTCTCATCGCGCTCGACTATTGTCTATTTGCTCCGCGAACGAATGGCCAGAGTCTTGCTCACAATTTGATCTCTTTGTATAGACTGACTTGAATTACAAAAATTCACATAATATCCCTTTGACGGGGTTGGTAGCATCCCGCGATGCCACTACCGGTGTTCTAGTATGCGATTATCAGATGCCCATATGCGGTTTCGGTTGCCCTATATAGTCGCTCTCCCCTCTCCTTCTTAATCGATCTATGTTCAAGCTGGCGGCGTGTCGTGCACAACAGTAAGCAGATATTTTGAGTCGGGAACAATCACAATCTCTTGCTTCTTCGTTCGGAGTCGGAGCAGTTTAAGTTCATCCTAACATCAGTTCGCAATTGTTTCCTTCAAATGTAGTTCAGATCGGGGAAGATTACCTCTCCATCAAGTTCTTGCACCAATTGCCCAGAACTATTCACGTAATTCCATATCAACGCGGCAAATTCCTCTAGGCCTCTCGACTGGCTTTCTTCGGCTACGTTCGCCTCGCTGGAGAAGGATGCGGTTGCTGATTCGGTTCTTGATTTCGCATTCTGCAGGGCGGACAAGTCGCCGCTGGTTTTGATGATGGATCCAGTAGCTCGGTCAAGAACAATGCTGGCCTTGACGCCAGGTTTGCGCGATAGGCGGTCGAGCTTTTCTTCGAGGGCTTCCTGCCCGTTTGCCTGTAGGAAGGAGGTCAGACTTTGAATGAATCAGCAATAAGAATTGAAGACGTACCGCTGATTTATCAGCCATGGTCTATAGAAATAACCATGGGAGTCCCCTATCTAGCTTGGGGGATGTCGGCGCGTGGAGGGGCTCCTTGCGCGATGACGCTTGCGGACGTCGTCGACGTCTCCACACATTCCGTCGACGATCGTCGCAAATGATTCTGCCAGCCGACACCGCTAAAATTTCGGAGACAGCGTCCATCCCAAGCGCAGCAACTTTACATTTACATCAGTATCATCTTATTGCGCTGACTCAATACAACCATCTATGTCTATTTCTCCTCGAATTAGGCGAATAATCTAGTGAAACAAATCAATTCAGATCGAAACACTCATCCGATCGCAAAGATGGGTTCTAGTGCTAAGAAAAAGAAGGAGAAGAAAAAGGACTTCCAGGTTTGATAATCATCTACCTCCCACGATTGGTCATGCTCTTACTGTCCGTCAGAAACCAAAGCACAAAGTCGGAAAAGCCAAACCCAAAGCCTCAAATTTCACCGATACCAGTTTCAAATCCAAAGGTGAGAGTCGTTGGTTTCGCTCCCAGAGAGCCGTCAAACTAACTTCCCGCCAGCGATTGTCGTGGGACACCAGTCACTCTCTACCGTAGCACCAGACGTTACCCAGCAGTTTAAACATAATCTCTCTTTAGCCTCCTCGGCAAAATCAGACAAGCAAAGGCAAGAAGCATTGTCTTATCTTACGACACAGCTCTCCTCGGAACCTGCAGTAAATCCTCTTGGGGCCCCATTACTGCTCTCTAAGCTGCTTCCTTTGATATCAGATAGCTCAACCCCTGTCCGCGCTCAGCTTTTGAAACTATTTCGGGCTCTGCCGGAGGACGAAGTGCGCCATAGCGCCGAACAAGCAATCCTGTACATTCGCGCTGGAATGACTCACCTTTCAGCTGACATCGGCAACGACTCACTGGGGTTCATGGAATGGTTGCTTGATATTGCCGATGAGGATCTCGTAAGTTGTCCAGGGGGCTGGGTGAAAACCCTAAATACATTCTGCGCCATGCTTGGGTGGTCGATATCATCCAGGAAAGACGGCTGGACCTCTGCTGGTGCAGGGCAAAAAGTTGCTCGTGGCAAGGTCGCACAAAACCAGGCACGCTGCCTAGAAGCACTGACCAAATTCTTACGAGCGGGATTCCAGCCAGAAACTGAAATGGTATCCAACCCGAGAGCCGCACACGACAATTTGTATCGTATCCCACGAGGACCAAGTGCTTTTGCATATCTAAACTTGGCAGGTCCTCGTCGAGATGGTGATGCAGAAATGTACTTGGATCGTGAATCCCGGCAACGTGTTTTCCACAAGAGATTTCACGAGGCCATTTCACGAGGATTAGAGCAGACAAAGAAGGAAGGCGGCTCGACAGGGCGATCTGCCGCTACCCTGAGCCAACTGCTCTTGGGAGAGGAAGGAATGGGTGATTACGAACCTTCTGGCGCTATAGAAACAGAAGATTTATTAGAATTATGGTAGTAATTGTCAATCAAGACTTAGGCTATCCAACCTGTTCGGTGTGACTGTAGTCTGGGTAAATTCGTCGTCACAGTGATGGTTGTCAACAGAAATAGGATGATGTTCTCAGCTCCTCTCCTCGGCCTCAAATCTGTTCCTCCCAATTCAAACCGTCTCACCTCCTCCAAATGCCGATATCTATACTATCTGGGTAATCATATGCAATCATTGGCTTCTCAGGAAGGAAGTGCCCTTGTGCAACAAGGATAAAAGCATATCACAGCAGGCAGGTCATGCACAGGCCAATTCTCATTTACCTGGTAGAGCTTCCGGGCAATTTTAGTGGTTAAAATATGGGACAGGGTACAAACAAGTCGGAAATACGTTTCAACAAACAGAAAACGCGGAGCCTGAAGTGCTTGATTTCTGTGCCAGGGCAGTTTTTTTCCAACGAAAGCATTGACCTAGAGCAAACTTCCAGAAATTTAATATTTATTTATCACCTGAGGGTATTATTGAACGTGTATCATCTGCATTGGCACTCTAATTTGGCTGTTGCTTGACGGGAAGACGAACGGCAAGCAACGGGAAGCAGTCTGCACGCTCCCTTCGCGCTCATGCAGCCTCCCATCTTCTTTTCCATCCACCACATTTAAATCTTGCCCCTATTGTGCTTCAAGACGAAGAAGACTCTATCTGCTAGCTTTAAATGCCATATTCAATTTGATACCTGAAGTCAAAAAGTCACCATCTCCTAGTGTACCTGTGAACCACCCCGTCAGGCACAAAGCACCGAAGCCACATTGCATGAGAAATTCAGAAATTTAATGGCCTTTTTCCCAGAGAATATCTGCCTGTGATAGAGGTACGTACCGTGGCCATCGTTCTTTCCCTTTCCATTAGTGTCTGCAGGTGCAATTGACGGTTGATACCTGAGGTCCGCCCAGCCCAGCCGCCCCTCTCCCCTCGCCCTTCCTGCCCTTTGTTTATCTCACCTTCTCCTCTCTTCTCTCTCCTCTTCCTTTTTTTTTCATCCGTGCATCC